GACGCTCCTGGCCTTGGGGAGCCGCCGTGGGGGGGGGGGTGTCTCTGCAGCGGGGTCAGGGTCGCGCTGCCAGGCCGCGGGGACTCTGGGCTGTGCGCCTATTGGAGAGGTCCCGACTGTGGGTTCGCGCGCACGGCCGGGCCCGGCTCCCACCCCTTGGGGCTGCCGGGGAGTGTTTGGGGTCGAGGTCAGCACGCGTGTTGCGTCGCCAAGCGGGGACGTGCGTGTCCCCGGGGTCGTGCACCCCAGCGGGGCCCGAGCAGCAGCGGGCGCGTGTCTCCAACTTTCAGGCTGTTGGTGCGTTTGCATGCCGAGGGGGTCCCACTGCACTGTCCGATTTTAGTGCCGCTCTGTGCGTCTGTTGGGGGGTCACCGGTGTCAGCGCTTGTCCCCACGCGTCACCCCCGCGTGTGGCTCCGGGACCGCGGGTCGCCCTGCGAAGCGTGCGTGGCCGAACCCCCCCTCCCCCGCCTTCCTTTCGTTTTTGAGCCTTGCGGTTTCCGCCCACCCGGCACTGGTCCTCGGCGCGGCTCGGGCCCGGGGTCCTGGTGGCGCGCACGGGGACACCGCGTTGGGGATTTTGAGGGGTGTCAAGCCCTTCAAGCCCGCCCCCCCCGCCCCCGTTCCGTCTCCGCCCAGACCCCCGGGCCAGCTGCGGCCGCCAGCCATGGAGGTGGCGCCCGAGCAGCCGCGCTGGATGGCGCACCCCGCCGTGCTGAACGCGCAGCACCCCGACTCTCACCACCCGGGCCTGGCGCACAACTACATGGAACCCGCGCAGCTGCTGCCCCCCGACGAGGTGGACGTCTTCTTCAACCACCTGGACGCGCAGGGGAACCCCTACTACGCCAACCCGGCCCACGCGCGGGCGCGCGTCTCCTACAGCCCCGCGCACGGTGAGCCCCCGGGGCCTGTGGGCCACTAGGAACCCAGGCTTCATTCACGCGCCCCTGGAGAGGGCCGGGTGGCTGCCTGCTGCTTGCCGGATGTGGGATCCCAGGCGGGAAAGGTGGGGAGGCAGCGAGCGGCCCAGTGGGGAGGGGTCTGGGACCCATAGGGTTTCTGCCCGTGGTGTCCCAGCCTGTCCCCTTCTGGGCCATTCGTCGTTCTGCTCCTGGAGCGATATACCTGGTTCTGTTAGGTTGCTGGTTTTCTTCGGGGAACGGGGGTTCCTAAGCTGGTGGTGGCTCTGGGAGCTGTGACTTGGTGTTATCTGTGTCAGAGGCTCCTCTCCCCCACCCCAAAACCCACGCGCACCCTGAACCCCGTGTCCCTCTGTCTGCAGCCCGCCTGGCCGGAGGCCAGATGTGCCGGCCACACCTGCTGCATAGCCCGGGCTTGCCCTGGCTGGACGGGGGCAAAGCAGCCCTGTCCGCGGCGGCCGCTGCGCATCACCACAATCCCTGGACCGTGAGCCCCTTCTCCAAGACCCCTCTGCACCCCCCAGCGGCCGGGGCCCCCGGGGGCCCCCTGTCCGTGTACCCGGGGCCCGCGGGTGGGAGCGCGGGGGGCGGCGGCAGCTCGGTGGCTCAGTCTGCGCACTCTGGCTCCCACCTCTTCGGCTTCCCGCCCACGCCCCCCAAAGAAGTGTCCCCGGATCCCAGCACCACGGGGACCGCGTCCCCTGCGTCATCTTCCGCGGGGGGCAGCGCGGCACCCCGAGGGGAGGACAAGGATGGAGTCAAGTACCAGGTGGCGCTGACCGACGGCATGAAGATGGAAGGTGGCAGTCCCCTGCGCCCCGGCCTGGCCGCCATGGGCCCCCAGCCCGCCACACACCACCCCATCGCCACCTACCCCCCCTACGTGCCAACCGCGGCCCACGACTACGGCGGGGGGCTCTTCCACCCCGGTGGCTTCCTGGGGGGCCCGGCCTCCAGCTTCACCCCCAAGCAGCGCAGCAAGGCGCGCACCTGCTCAGGTAAAAGCAGCCCCCCACCCCCCGGGGACTTAGAGGACACGGGGACAGTTTGGACCTTTGGGGGAGGGGGCAGCTGTCATTGGAGAAGAGGCGCAGTGGCAATCTCTGGAATATGGGACCGGGTGACATTCCTCAATTAATAGCCCCCCCCCCCGAAGGATGTTTGAGACCCCAGAATTGGGGGCAGACGGGGGAACGCTGCAAGTTTTGCCATTGTCCGAAGTGTCCCTGGCGGCTTCCAGAAAGTTCCAATGCCTTCCCCAACCCCCCCCAAAGCAGAGCACAGAGCGAGAATCCTCCCTTCCCGTCCTCCCCCCCCCGAAACTTCGGTGGAAATCGAAGGGGGCTTAAGATCTCGCCTGTCAGCGAGGGAAGCCAGTCCGGGAGTATGTGGTGTGTAGACGCATGTTTGGGAACGTGTGTACACGTGTCTGCGAACAGGTGTGCACGCCGCGGGCCGCCCCGGGGGCTCCAACCCCCTAAGGAATCTGGTTTTTCAACTCACATTGCTCCGATCTTGGGATTTCGGTGGCTCCCGCCCGATCCCCTTGGGAGATTTGTCCCCCCCAGGGACCTATTCCTGGTCCCTACCCCCTGGCGCGGTGGCCTGTGCTGGGTTCTGCATCCTCTGAGAGCTGGAGGGAGGGGACGAAACCGCAGGTGGCCCCGCTCCTTTGCCCGAGCTGGTTTTGTCCGGGAACCTGCCTGGAAAGTACAAACCTGGGGCTAACGCGGGGCTCCTGCCGTCTACACCTTCCTTTTTGAACCAGGGAGAGAGAAGATTTTTAAAACTTTTTCTCCTGACTCCAGGAGTGACTTTGTCTTGCTGCCACATACAGACGGCTTAGTTTAAACTAAGTCCAGGAGAACTTCTTCGGCCAACACCGTGCTAAGGCAGCTAACCCACCTCAGGCCCCCCCACCGGCTCATCCCGGTTCCACTCAGACCCTCGGGCTCGTCTTCTCTTAGTCCTTTCTCCTAAGTTTGTTTTACATTTTATTT